AGACATGACTTTTCTAATTGTCCATTTCAAGTGGCTTTCTAACCTTCAGTGTTCAACAAGTTTTAAAAATTCATCATGACTTAAATTCATTTGGGTTTCTCAGACCTGAGATTTCTGTCATTGGAAAACTTGATTTTTTTTTTTTTTGTCATGCCTTTTCCCTGATCCCTCTGGAACTCTGAGCAGATCTGTTTTAGACGTTTAAACACTTGTGTCCTTCAATATCTCTTTTATATTCTTTACTTCTTTATCTCTTTGACATCGATTTCAATATTTCTTTCAAATCCATCTTTTAAGTAACAATAATTTCTCATGCTGTATGATGCTCTATTCAACATATTTACTAAGTGTTTCAGTTATTTTATTTTATTTCAATTTTCTCTAAGCTCAACCTAGTTTTCTATCAAATCCAGTCAAGTCCTTTTAGTCACTTTCCTTGCTCTTGTTTTCAGGCCCATCTTTTTCCTCAAAGATACAGAACGCACTTCTGATATATTCTAGAATGGATAATTAAAATATCTAACCTACTTGTTGAGCTATATGATTTTATTATATTACCTTTCTGCTGACTTTTATTAGAAGTGTTTTCTACTATTATGTTTTATTTTTTCATTTATTTTCCTATTAGCCAAAGGTTTCTGAGTATCAGATCTGTTGGATGCAAACTGTGTAGATAATCTGCTTTGTATTGTTGTCTACAGGCTTCTCTGGGGCAGGACTATTCCAGTTAAAGCCTCAGCTCTGAGACCCATACAGATAAGCAAGATATTAACTTAGCTGTGTAATAATGAGCAACCTGAAAGCCTATGATGAATGACAGTTTCAGAGATTTTTCTCCCTTCTATTCAAGTTGTCTTAAACACTAATGATTATGCCATCTCATCAGTCTTGAGAGGATTTCTCAAGATATTCCCTTCAGTCTTGCCCTCACAGTCATTAAAGTGGAAGCTAAAATTCACCAAGATCTCACAAATTCACTGAGGGCGAAAGACATTTTCAGGTAATCACTTGTTGACCACAGGTTTTATTATTATTTCTTCCATTTTCATTTCAAATTTAGGGCTTTACAGATTCATTTTCCTTCCAATTCAATAATATATTTTAAAATATTGGGCTGGAGAGATGGCTCAGTGGTCTAAAGCACCTACTTAGATCAAGCTTAGCAAAAGCATCAGGGAC